TATCAAACCTGCCTGCAGCAGAGAGGCCTCCGCCCCCTTCCAGGTCCTCTTCCTAGGCCAGGCTGTATTTGCTTAGCGGCTTCAGTTTCCCCGGTCAGACAGCTGGGCACATACAGAGAAGGCAGGCTACTGTGACCGAACTTGCTTCTGTCCTGTGTCTGTGAGGTGGACAAATGTTTTGTTCTGTAACCGCGACAGTTCTGCCTCTTTGAGTTCTGTCTGTGTGGCCGTGACTGTGGGGACTGCTGGAGACTAAGTGGGCAAGGCCAGGAGCACCCAGACGCTGGGGCCAGCTGCCGCTGTGATGGAGTGCAGAAGGGTCTTCCTGGGAACACGGGAGGCTGGAGGTCACCCCAGCTCCTCCTGGGTCCCCCTGCTGTGTGCTTCCTGGACTGCTCACGGAGACGGGAGTGACTCACGTTTCTTGCATTTGCTCTTCTTGGGCCAGCCCCATGTCCTTGGCTCTACCCAGCCCACTTCCATAGCTGGGTGCATAGGACATTCCTTCTACTCAAGTAGGCAAGCAAAATCAAGTGTTTAGGTTTTATTTGAATGAAGATTTTAAGTATTTGAATATAGTAGCCCAGCCCTCTATATACTAGACAGACCCTTAGTGTCTGTAAGATATTGGTTCTGAATTTGTTTAGTATAGACATAGAGCCTCATGTTACCCAGAATGACCTTGAACTTCTGATCCTCCGGCCTCCACCACTTGAGTGCTAAGATTATGGGCATGTGCTACCATGCCCAGCTCATGATGGAACCCAGGGTTTAGTATGCACACACTCACTCTACCAACTGAACTACATCCCTAGTCACCATGATGCTGTGTCTTGTTTTGTTTTCCTGAAAAGGAGTGGGGTGTCTGGTCTTAGCAGTGGGAGTTCAGGCCCCTGTGGCTTGATGCTGCAGAGCCCCAAGACAGGTGGGTGCTTTGGGGTTCTGCAGGAAAGCTGCTCGCTCTGCTTCAGAGGGCTTGGCTTTGCCCCAGAGGCCATGAGCGCAGGCATGATGACTTACCGTTACTGTAGCTTTGGGGAGTGGGTTGTCCCATCTGTGGCTGTGTGGCTGCTCCCAGGTCTTCAGAGATAGTCAGTGAAGGTCACAAGGGTGGACATGGATTGAAAAGATGGATGCTCTGTCCTGCTTCTCCTGAGTCCTATAAAGAACACAGACCTACCCAAGGTAGAACCAGTGTGGAAAACCCAGAAACATCTGTGCTGTGGGTCTTTCCCTTCTTTTTCTTTATATTTTATTTTGTTTTTCAAGATAGGGTTTCTTTGTGTAGCCCTGGCTATCCTGGAACTCGCTCTGTAGACCAAGGTGGCCTTGAACTCACAGAGATTCCCTTGCCTCCTGTCTTCAAGTTCTGGGATTAAAGGTGTGAGCCACTACCATCCAGCAGATCTTTCCCTTCTTAGAATGACCTTTTATGTCCTTAGGTCTCTGGGTTAGTGGTAGCATTGGCTGGAGAATTGGTGATTCCTAGTACACGGAGCACAAAGCCTTTTCAAGTAGTACTGAATGGCATTCTGGGAGCCTAGCTGGTTGGAGGTGGGAAGGGTAGATAAGAAGGCTAGCAGCTGCAGAGAGATTTCAAAGTTCAGGACTTTGTCAGCAGGAGAACCATCCATGCCTGGCCCTTGTGCATTTATTTCTTCATGGGTCTCAGTCAAATGTAGTCAGGCAAATGCAGGCTAGTGCTGAGGACACTTAGGCCAACAAGCTTGCCATCTTCATCATGGGAAGTGTATAATTTATGTTTACCTGCAAGGTCACCTGGGCAGAGAAGCTGAGGGGGTGTCTGGAAGGCTGTAGATTCCTATGACATCTAGAAAACTGAGGCCTCCAAGAATAGAGTAACTAGGCTACCATTGCCCCCGGGTGTGTATGGGAAGGGTGGGACAGGAGAGTTCATGGCTGCATCACAGAGGTTTCTGGGAGGCTGGGAATGTGGCCTGTCCTCTAGCAGGGATTTCTGAGTAGTGGGGTCCAGGCAAGGCCTCCACATTCATTCTCGCTCTGGAGCCTAACGAGAGGGCAGGCCCAGACCTGGTAACCTTAGAAATGTCTAAGCCATGGCTGGTGTGTCCCAGGCCCTCAGCCCTGGAGTAGGGCAGTGCCAGCTTGGAGAAGTGGCGGCTGTCCTCCAAGCAGCACCTCCTGCTCACTGAGGCTGGAGTACCAGTGACAACTGGCCCCGTAGGACATTAGCCTAGGCCAGGATGGGGCCCTCTCAGAAACATCAGCTCCCAGCGTTGGGAACACCCTCGAGATTTGAGGTTGAGGGAGGAGGCATGGTGATGGTTCTCTGAGAACTGTCTTTAGAGTCCAAGCTATAAAGAGACTTGGGGTGCTTTAAAAGGTGTAACATTTGCACATAATTGCTATCATGTCAGATTTATAAGGCCGAGCTGTGTCAGGCAAGATGGTCTCTGTGGACTCCTAAAGTCGGAGCTTCCTTGATTGTTTCATGTTTTAGAGCTACAGTCGCAGGGAGATGCTTAGTGGGTAGCGTGCCTGGCCTGCAAGCTCGCCCATGAAACGCCAGATGTGCTAGTTTGGGGTGCCTGGCCTGCAAGCTCGCCCATGAAACGCCAGACGTGCCAGTTCGGGCTTGTCATCTCGGCCCCGGGGAAGTGGAGACTCCGAGTCTCTGCTTCTTCTAGCCTAACTGGTGATCCTGAGGCTCAGTGAGGGGTCATGACTCAAAAGACAAAGGTGGATGGCCCTTGAAGAGCAGTGTTGGGGCCTGTCCTCTGGTCTCCTCGTTCTTACCTGCGCACCTGTGTGTAAACCCGCACAGGCACACACACACACACACACACACACACACACACACACACACACACACACACGTAGAAATTACAGTGGCTTATGTAGCGTTAGCGTCTGCAGGTGAAAACCATTTATCAGACAGTCTAGGTTTTATTTGTATCTGCTTAAGTTGGACATTTTGACCTTTTTTGTTACTGTGCTATTTTTTAAAAAAAAGATTTATTTTGTGCGTGTGTGTGTGTGTGTGTGTGTGTGTGTGTGTGTGTGCGCGCGCATGCAAGCATATGTGTGCAGGTGCCACAGGAGGATGTGCCATCCCCCGGAGCTATAGTTACAGGCAGTTGTGAGCTGCCCAACATGGGTCCTGGGAACTGAACACCGATCTTCTGGAGGAGCAGCAAGTGTTCCTAGCTGCTAAGCCTCTCTCTAGTCCTATATTGCACTGTGTGGGGCAGTTTCTCTTTGCATCATTTCTGTACCCCACAGTTGATGCAGGATTTGTTTCTTTGCCCATCTCTTCCACTCACCCCCACTGTGAGATTTTGGGCTGCTTTTGACAGCCAGGGAGTCTTCCTCATAGTGAGTGGACAAGGCGGGAGGAACTGATTTTAGCCTCACAGGGGAGAGGAGAAACTCAATTAATGTTCCATTGTAATTTAGCCTGGATTAATGGCCACTTACTGGAAAATGTTACAGGCTCTGTGGTGTGTTGTTGGAAACTGAGTTTCTCCCTTTATTTCCCCAAGGCCTTTCCCCCTCCGCCTGGAGCACACACTTGGAGCTTCAGGAAGCCTGTCCTGTTGCAATCATAGCTTCATTGTTCCTTTGTGTTATTTATTTAGTCTTTCACAAAATATTTCCATTGCCTTTAATGATGCTAGAGAATCACTGAGAGCCTTGGGGACAGTGTGGGGTCACTAGGTGAACACTGGTCAGCCCCAGCCTGAACGTCTCCGGCAGCATTATTGCCACATCCTTGGGGACACTCGAGGGCCCTCTCAGTCTCCACCTCCTACTCTTTGGTCCTGAGATGACGTCACAAAGTCAGTCAACCTCTTGATCTTGCAAAATCACTCACTTTGTGCCACAGCGGTAAACGATTGTGTGTGAAGTGGCTGTGTGACCCTTGGCGACTGACTTCATCTCTCGGAGAACGGGTTTTCTTGCCTGTTCCTGAATGGAGAGATATGTTTCTAAGTTCAGGAGAATTGATTCGATGATGGGAAGGAAGAGAGGCAAAGCCTGGAGCCGGCTAAGCAGCCCTCAGGTGGCCTCCCTCTCTTCCTGCATGCCTTAATAGTAAAACAGCAACAAAAATGTCCTCCCATGCTGAGTAGTGCATGGTGTGCATGTGGGTGCATGTTCAGTTGTGTTCATGTGTTTCGTGCATGCACATTTGTGCACTCCTGCAAAGGTCGACCTCATGTGCCATCTTCTTTGTTTTGTGTGACAGTGTCCTTCACTGACTGTGTCTCACGGAGCAGGCACCCAGAGTCCTCCCGTGTCCACCTCCCCAGCACTGGGATTACGAGGGTGCACATGCTCCACTTTTTTGGGAGCATGGGTTCTGGGGCCTGCGCGTAGGTCCTCATGTTCCCACACAAACATTTTTATCAATTCAGCTAACTCCTCAGCCCCAACTCGGTTTTCTTTTGGCTCCAGGAGCTCTGATTGTTTCTTCCACACAAGGCAGCTGAGGTGTTTGCACGCACTAGCTACACACACACCTCAAGAGTGTGACCACACGCTGGGGCCGGTTTCCTCTTCCTCAGCCCACAGGGGGGTGGCTTGCTTCTAGTTGCCCAGGAGAAGGCAGATTGCCAGGGGCTCTCTGGGAGGGTTGACCTCCGTCCAGGGGGCTCCCCATGGGAATGTCCACAGTGTTCCGTTTCTGAATCCTGTTTTAGCTCCCCGGGCCCTCTCGGGACCTCAGTCCTCCCCGAAGTCAATGGAGTAACTGTCACCAGCCTCCTGGCTAATGATAGTGTCTGTCACTCCTTTTTCTCTCGTGAATGGAGGTAATCCTCTGAGGCACTTGGCAGCCTGGCTACCTGATGGCTTCAGAGCCTGGTCTGGTGAATTCCCAAGACTTTCTTCCTGTGCCTCAGCCCGGGCGGCATCCCTGGGCCCAGCCCACAGAGGTGCGGGGGACGTGGTCAGATCCGCACATGCCTGGCACACACTGACATGGCTGTGGTCTGCTTTTCTCCCCCTCCCTCCAGAGTATAAGAAGAAGTATGGGGAGGAACATGGCTCCTGCCAGGCCGGGATGGCAGGCTTCTTCACTGAGGTGGGTGTCAGCCATGCGGCATTTCTTTCTCTGCCCTTCTTGGTGTTTGGTTGGGTGGCCCCTGAAGATGATGGGATTTCTGGTGTCCCGGGCAGCTGAGCCCCAAGTGAGTAGATTCTCATGTCTCTACACAGGTCTTTAAACCTGAGGAAGGGTACCAGCTGAGCCTGGACCATGTGGGTGTTGGGGGCTGGGCTGGCTCATGGGGAGATTTCTATGGAGTTGACTTGGCCTGAGATCTATGGAAGGAGCTGACAGCAGTTTGCATGTATGTCAGTCACCCGGGTGTCACCTCATATCACTTCCCCTCCTTAGCAGAGAGACTCAATGTCACACACATCAGGCTTTCCATCCCTGGAATTCTGAAGGCTTCTCCTCTGGAATGTGCCCAAGGGACAGGAACAGAGTGATTTTTGACTGCTAGGACATTTTTAGGTACTCTTTATTAAAACTACATCTCTTTAGTTTGTGCGTATGTGTCTAGGTGAACATACCATGGCTCGTGTGTGGAGATCAGAGGACAACTTTCAGAAGTGAGTTCTCTCCTCCCACCCTGCGTGTTCCAGGATCGAGCTCAGGTGGTCAAGCTTTGGGCCAAGTGTCTTTACACACAGCCATTGCAGTCCCCAGCCAGCCACATGCCATCCCCCTCTTGGCTTTGCAAGCGACAGTACCATCCATGCACTTGTTCAGGCCAAACATCAAAAGTCCCTCTGCACCCCAAGTTCATCTGAGTCCTGTTTAACCCCTAGGACACACCCCAGATGACTGTCCTTTCCATCATCGCTTCACCGGGACGGCCACGGTGCTTCTACAAAAGCCACCAGCACCCCTTGCTGACTCACTGACCCCAAATCGTCTCCCATAATCCTTAATTTTTAAAAAATAAGACTTTATAAATTACGTGTATATGTGTGAGTGTATGTGCGTGTGCGTGTGCGTGTGCGTGTGCGTGTGTGTGTGTGTGTGTGTGTGTGTGTGTGTGTGTGTGTTAGCGCAGTGTCCACAGAGGCCAGAAGAGGGCATCGGATTCCCTGGCGCTGGAGTCACAGTTGGTTGTGAGCTGTCTGATATGGGTGCTGGGAACTGAACTCAGGTCTTGTAGAGGAGCAGCAAACACTCTTAACTTTTGAGTCATCTTTCTAAAGCCTCCCCCCCCCCCACACTTAAATCATGGTCAAATATACATAATATAAATTCTTCCATTTTAAAGCCTACAGCTCAGTCTTGAATGAATTCTCAGTGTCATGCAGCTGCCACGCTTGTATAGGTTTTTTGTTGTTGTTTTTTTTTTCACTCCAGCCTGGGTCCTTTCTTGAGTGGAGCCATATGTTTTCTGCCCAGTAGCCTGAGGGATTTTGCAAAGTGAATCCTGACATTCTGACCCCATGGCCTCCTATTCCATGGAAGACAGAGGCCCCTGATTCCACACTGCCCAGGCCTGACTCTCAGGACCCTGTGCCTTCCCTCCTGGAGGAGCATGTGTGACGTTGAGGGGGCAGGAAAGAGTCCTCTCTGGTCTGGGGCTTTCCTCCTAAACAGCTCAGAGTCAGGAGTGGAACTGTCCACCCGGCTCTCAGAGATGCTCTCTGAAGTCAGAGAAAACAGTCTGTGATGTAGTAGCTAGTCCAGACGAAACGAAGACAAGAGTTTCATAAGCTGCGCTCTGGAACAGTGAACACCAGGTGCCTTGCTTCCAACCCTGTCTCCCCCAGCATGCCACGCCCGTTCACATCAGCACCCTTTCCTGACTCTGTACTAGTGATGTTCAAACCGTGGGGCCCAACACAGAGTACAAACGTATTTAAAATGTAAAATTCACTCTTGCGAACTGATTTATCACATTTGCATGGCTCTTAAGCATGGATACCAAGTTCTGTTGGGATGTCACAAGGACGGACCTGCCTGGTCTACACAGAGCTCCTTCCACGCCGGGTCCTGGGATTGGTGCCACAGTTCGTCGCGGCAGCTGAAGTTAAAATGAGATCTCCTCCTGCCTCCCTCTCTGCCACCCCACAGCTCCACAGCCGCTCACAGAGACACGCTTTCTCTCCGAATCCCCCCTCCCCACTGCAGAACCCCTGCCATCCTCCCCGAGTCTGGCCTCCCAACCGGAGCCTCGGACCCACCCTCTACAGACAGAAAAGACATCATGGTTCTCCTTGCTCGGACGTCCAGTGTCTTCCCATCTGCTTTTGATGAAATCTAAGCTGCGCTGTCCACAGCCTCCTGGGCCCCCCGCCTCTCTGTCCTCATCGGCTGCCCCACCCCCCTCCTGCACACATAGCCATGGCCGCTGCCGGGACACAGCACATTTTCACTGTGGCATAGCATACAAGGCCCTCTGCGCTAGAGCTTGCTCCACACAGCTCTCCCGGAGGCATCCAACAATTGAACTTTGATATATTCTGTTTTCAGTCTTAAGGGTGAGGTATTGAGCTACTCAGAGAGCTGCTTCTAGAATATTCCTGGGCACAGGCTGCCCACAGGCAGAGTTAGGGTGACTCAGCATGGGGCAGTGTGGAGATATTTCCCCTTCAGGACAGAGGAGAGAGTTGATTCATGGTAGAAATCAGAACTCATTAAGCTTTTGACCGGGAACTGAGGGACAAGGATTCCTGGGGGCTAGAGGAGGAGGTGTATCTTTTGGACCCCATCAGCTGGTAAGCTGGAGAGGGTGGGACATTGGAGCTGGACAGGAGGACTTGCAAAGGGTGCGGAGGCCAGGGCAGTGCAGGAGAGGCCCGGCAGCAGTGCGAACTAAGGGTGACCAGAAGAAGGAGAGAAGGGGACTCGGAGCCCAAGATAACCTCTGTGCCCTGACATTTGCCTCCATGGCTCTGTAGGGACTGAGTGTCCAGAGCACAGGAGAGGGTGGACGGCTCTGGTGGGAAGGCCCGGTCGTAAAGTTTTCCAACTCCGGCCGTTGTCTCCTGGCTTGCCTGTGCCTCAGCCTCAGCTTTGGTTCCCAGGCTCTGGGCCCCTGTAAACAGCAGGTCTTTGAACTCTCTGTCTCCCTCATTTCTCGAACTTCAGTTGCCCTCTGCAACTGAACAGGAAATGTAGTTGGAGGGGTCAGGCAGGCCCCATGCCCCTCCTCTGCCCTCCTGCTGGCCTCCACCCTCTGCCACTGCCGTGAGCTGTAGCCTGCTGGACATGGCCATGTTGGGCCAGAGCGTTCCCACCGGAGACTGACCTGTGGGTCAATGCCCCTGAGGTCATCAATCGTCTTTGAGTTATGATGCCCGGTGTCCTTGAGGATAAAGGACAATGCTAGCCATTTTTGTAGACTAGAATATCAGAGGTGACATCCTCCAAGCTTCTAGAGGAGACAAGGAAGGACCAGCCCACCAGGGAGATGCCAGGTGATATTCCTTGGCTCAGATTTAATAGTAGATGCTGTGCTGCCCAGTGGCCGACAAAGGCTGGCAGCTCCTTTCGGGCACATCCAGATGACCTTGTGCCTTAGAGGAATCTTGGGGGAAAGGCACACACTGTTTATTGAGGGGTTGGATTTGGTCAACTGTGTCTTTTACTTGCGTGTATTTGTGTGAGAGAGAACTTAGAATTGATCACATTGTTCTGACATTTGTAAAAATGCACCAAAAAGGACCCAGCCACCATTCACAGGGAATAGGAAAAGCCAAACACGAGGGCTTCCAGGAAGTCAGTGTCTCCCCTGAATACAGCCAGGATGGCCACAGCTTTGGCGGCATCTGCCGGTAGGGCTGAGATGAGATAGACAGCGTGATGACTAAAAGAAGGAAGGAGGAAAAATAGGAGTTTTGTCTTCATGTTTTCAATTTCATTGTTATTATTAGTGTGTGCGTGTGCATATATACATGTGCATATGTGTACGCACGCGTACATGCATCTATAGAGGCCAAAAGTCAGCCTCATGTGCCGTTGTTCCTCAAGCCATTCACCTTTTTTTTTTTTTGAGTCAGGGTCTCTCAATGAACCTGAGTTTGCTGATTAGGCTGGCTGACCAGTGAACTCCAGGGAGCTGCCTGTCTCATCCTCCCCACAATAGCATTCCAGACACATGCCACCATGCCTGAATTTTTATGTGGGTGTTGGGAATTGAACTCAGGTCCTCTTGCATCTGTGGCAAGCGCTTTACAAACCAGCTTGGTCTCCAGCCGTCTTTTATGGTTTTTAAGGAAGGAGGTGACTGTGTTTATGTACTCTGTGACACTTGAGAGGCAGCAGGAGATATTAACTATCTACTGAGTGTTTCTTCTGGATGAATCCAAATCACAGGCGAACAGTGTGTCCCTCACCCGGGGGCCTGCAGAGTCTTTGCAGTCTCCTGCTGTTGCTCAGAACAAGTTGCAGATGAAGAGAATTCCACACTGTGTATACAACTGGTCCTGAGGGCATCACTCATGCTCTCCAGTGCCCTTTGTGTTTGGGCATTGATTACACATTCCTTTTTAAGCACGAGGCCAGGAAGAGTCTCTCTCCTCTCATGAACCCGTGGCTTGCCTTTCAAACACCCTTTGAGAGCTGGCACTGTTTTCGTACCAGTGTGAGGAGAGTGAGTGGATGGGTGACTGGATGGGTGAGTGATTGTGCCTTGCACCACCTTCTCCTGGTGACTATGGAGGTGATCTGTCTATAAAGGAAGAAAGGATGGGATGGAGAGAAGAGAAGAGGGCTTCCCAAAGCCCTGTGGGCCAATGGAGGGAGGGACCATAAACACACAGAGACCCAGCTGCCTGGTTTGTGTCTGTGTAGTCATACAGATATGTTATTCAAAAAGTTTATAATCTCAGTAAAAACTCAAGTGTACCCCAGGATTGTCTCTCAGTGCCTATATTTTTGTTTTACTATATAGAGCTGTTTTCTTTTTAAAGACTCACTTGAGTGTTTGTCTATGTGTGTGTATGTGCTCCACGTGTGTTCATGTTGTATTTTTTTTTACAAAAGAATTAGATTTTATTTTTTTCCTGAATGAAAGTTGTTTTTGTTATTTCTTTCACCCATCAGTCTTTTCTGCCTTCCCTCTCTCTTTGTGCTCTCCCACCCTCTAGGGACCTTCTTTCCATATTTAAAATTTTACTTATTTATTATTGCGTATATATATGCACACACTTGATGCATGCATGCAGGTGTTCCTGGGGTAGTACATGTGTGGTGGTCAGAGGACAACTTTCAGGAATCAGTTTTCTCTTTCCACCTTGAGTTTTGGGGATGGACCTTGGGTGGTCTGGCTTTTGCAAAAGCCCCTCTACCAATAGAGCCATTTAACTCCAATATTTTTATTGAGACAACATCTCATGCAGCTCAGGTTAGATTTGAACTCACTATGTAGTCAAGGCTGGCCCTGAACTCCTGATCTTCCAGCCTCCATTTCCTGACTGTTGGGATTATAGGAGTGACCCACCATGTCAGGTGTGATGTTGCTGTGTTCTCTTGAGCACTGTTTCCTGGAGTCACATGATTTAGGAACAGTATCAATTGTTCACCATTTCGTGAACATCTTAGGATGAACGTGTGTGTGTGTGTGTGTGTGTGTGTGTGTGTGTGTGTGTGTGTGTGTGTGTGTGTGTGTGTGTGTGTTGGGGGTTAGGGAGTGTCCATGAAGCCTCACTGATAGCCAAAACAGGGACTTGGTCTGTCACTCATTCTCTCCCCTTGCTTAGTAATCTCATCTTTAGGCTGAAAATCCTGACTACATGGTAGAGTCCAGATTGCCCAGGATCTGGGACCGTATGTGTCACTGCCGTAGAGAGGCACTGTATGTCAATGCTCAACTCTCCTTTGCCGTGACTGCGGCTGTCAACGTATCAACTAACTCTCTCTGTCTCCTTTTGGATTTTTCCCCTAGGAGCTGGTGGTCATGGGTGCCCCAGGCTCATTTTATTGGGCTGGGACGGTCAAGGTGCTGAATCTCACGGACAACACATACTATAAACTGAACGATGATGTGATTATGAGCAGGCGGTATACCTACCTGGGTGAGTATCTGGAGAGTCTGCAGGTGACAAGGTGGACTGTGAGTGATCACCATGACCACAAGCTCAAGGATTATTGCTTTATTAATAGAAAGAAGCAGTAGTTGGCTTTTATACCCATCAATCTAATTAATTACACTTTAATTAGAGTTCTTAACATTTAGTTGCATACATGGGTGGTAGGGAAATCAAAAAAGAAACCCTGTGAAAACTGGATGGTTTTGTTAAAATCTGATGGGAAAACCTCCAGGGGACCAACCATTGCCTTGCTTTAGCAGCCAATCACATTCAGGTGGCCAGATATGGAATGAATGCCGTTGAACCTGGCTTTCCCTAGAGATCATTGTGAATGGTGTGTCTGCTTCCTGGTAACAAGTCCAAACAGTAAGAATCAGAATTTCCATGAGATCAAGCAACATAGTGCTGAGCTTCCCTCAAAGGCTCTGGAAATTTCTCTTATTTTTTCAATTCTTTTAATTGTCTAGAAAGAAGATAGGCATAATTTAATTTAGCAACCACCAGGCAAAAATGATCCTGGGCTGGGTACAGCACTGTGTATCCATAGTGCTTGCTATGGAAGCCACAGCCTCAGCAGGAAGTTTATGGAATCAAGGACATTTGAGGCTATTCTAGACTCCGTAGGGAGGTGCTATTTCAAAACAAGGTGGGGTGGGAGGAAAGAAACAAAGATGGAAGGAAGGAAAGAAGAGGAGGGAGAGAGAGAAGGTTCTGGAAGAAGGCCATGCTCATTTAAGAATAGAGATAAGTTGGGCACGGTAGCCCATACCTGTAATCCTAGTGCTCTGGAGGTAGAGGCAGGAGGATCACAAATTTGAGGTCAGCTTGGGCAACCTAGCAAAAGCTTGTCTCAAAAAAACAAAACCAAAAACGCACACAGCGATGGGCTGCCTTTGTTCATGTAACAGTGCCAATCCTTTTTGTTCAATCCAGGCCTCAAGTGGACTGAGAATTAAACTAAATTTAGAAAGGTTGGTAATGACAAAATAATGTCTTTCATGCCCGCTATATATAAATTAAGCCAAGGGAAACTCCTGACCCCCTTTTTGAATAGAGAATTCCCTGGAAACACCTTGGAAGGAGGGTGTCAGGGGCGGCGGGGCGGCGGGGAGGGCTCGCCATTCCCAGCTTGAGCATCTTCCCGACTCGCGCAGACCCAGCCGCACTTCACACGCTTTGAGGTGTTTCTGCATCCAGCTCTCTAACCCACCACTCATTAAGCGTCTGCTCAGTGCCAGGCTTGGTGTGTGATTTCTTCCAGTTTCTGAAACAACCTTCCAAGGCAGCCATTATCACTGCCCTGTACAGTTCCTAGATGAGGAAGTGCAAAGACATTATGGAACGCATCCAAGTCACGTGACTGACAGGCAGTGAGGTCAGTTACAGACCCACGGTTTCTGAGGCAGGTTCTGCATACTGCGGCCCCCAAGCCCAGGGTGTGTGCTGCAGAGGCACTTGCTTCCCACTAATCTCCCACTAAGCTGTGAGCACCCTGAGGTGGGGGTTTTGCCTCACATTCCCAGGGCATTGCATAAATTAGTGACTAGAACGGACTCAACACTGCGTCAGGGATTTAAGGGAAGGCACAGAGAGTCACAGCTCCTTGGTGGCTTTAGGTTTGAGGACAGGACCTGTGGTTTCTCTCTGTGACAAGCCAGAGGCCCTTATCTGCTACAGGGATTAGCGTGGAGTAGTTGAGGGTGATATCACTCATGGTCGTCTTGTATAATGCGAGCCTTCAGGCTGAGAGAAGTCAAGCACGCAGAAAATGAGATAGCTGTGCTAAAGTGATCGCAGCCGACATGTGTCGCAGGTCAACATGTAATCACAGCCTTAGGGTTTGAAGGTCATGAGAAAGCTTTTTCTACTGGTCAGGGGTGTGATTTCAGCCTGCCAGCTAGGCATGCGGGAAGCAGGAGACATTTAAGTCAACATCATATGTCCTTTCCCCATTGTTTCTGGGTTCCTTTAAGCCCAGATTCTTTGACTGCCCATCTGCTCACCCATCCACGCATCCATCCATCATCAGTATCTCTCACTTCTCTTAAAAAGGATGTGACATAATTGATAACTGCAGATACTCTGGACTCATGCAGATGGCTTTGAATATTACTCGGTAATCTTGAGCATTGGTGGCTAGCCATGTACTGTCTATATGCAAAAAAAGAATATTGAAATATTTTCCAGTATTAGGAATTGAACCCAGGGCTTTATGCATACCAAGCAATCCCTCTACCATTGAGCTGAATCCCTAGCCCTATGTTTAGTTTCTTGACCTGGATGGGGTTGTACCCCTAAGGATGTGTATTCTCATTCATGAAGCTGTGTCATTAGCATTGTGCTCATTAGAGAAGTTGTATTCATTCATGAAGTTGTGTCATTAGAATTGTGCTCATTCATGAAGTTGTACATTTTTGTGTGGACTGTGTCAGAATTGTGCTCATTCATGAAGTTGTACATTTTTGTGTGGACTGTGTCATTAGAATTGTGCTCATTCTTGAAGTTGTATGTTTTTTTGGCATGGACTGTGTCATTAGAATTGTATTTCCCCAAAGTAAGAAACACACAGAGTATTTAGCACCCTACTTGTTCCATAGGGGACAATCAGAAGGTACTGCCCTCACACTGTCCCTGTGAGCATGCACTTTTACAAGACAAGCTATTTAATAAAAAGAGATTGACAGCTACCACTTGTCCTCCAGAAAGGTTTATGTCCCAACAATAACTAGAGCATACTGTCTGGATAGAATACTACCAAAGAAATGTTTTCTTCTGCTGCGTAGTTTTTTCTTATATGACCTCCTTCTCAAGCATGTCCTTGATTTCTTCCCATCCTATTTAGGCTATGCAGTGACCGCTGGCCACTTCTCTCATCCATCCATCACTGATGTGGTAGGGGGTGCCCCACAGGATGAAGGCATTGGAAAGGTGAGGAGAAAAGCCTGAGGCATGACGTAGTACCAGGCAGAGGACGGGAGCGTGCTGCCCTGTAGAGGCTTTCCAGTGTGCTTTGTTCCCATGGCCGAAGAGTAAGCAACAGACTCATGGGGAATCCTCCCCTCTGACTGTCCCTTCTGGTCACTGGGAGGGTTCGCCTTGGAAGCTTGGAGCTCTTGTAACTGACTTTGTGTGTGATTTTAAAGACTATCCTTGACATGATGGTACCCTCCAGAGGAAGAGCATCCAGTGTGGTCCTAATTCAAATACCTCCACCTTCCCAAACAACTCTGACCTGATGAAATCAGATCTCATCTTCAATGTTTTGAGAGCTTTATAATGCCTGATTTTCATTTGTTACCCTGATGTTTCAGAAAACAAAACAAAACAAAACAAAAAAATCCATTGTGTTCTCAAGACTAGTGCAACTGGGGTAGCCTGGGAACATGTTGATCTAGCTTTCTCTAGCGTAGCTGCCAAGAAGGTAGAGGACACCCCGTAGTCCAGGGCACTCTGAGACTCTCTAGGAATCATGGCCTCTAAGGGCCTGATAAGGGGAACTGTGGCTGTGGGCAGCGTCACGGTTCAGGCATTCCCGCTCAGGAGATCCACATTTATCTTACTGGCTGTACTCATTACTCCTCATTGCTGTGGCTAAATGCCGGTCAGAAAGCAATTTAGGGAAAGCAGAATTTATCATGGCTCAGAGTCCGAGGAGATTGACTCTGTCACAACGCACAAGACGTGGTGGTAGAAAGGAAGCTCCCACACTCCAGAAGCAGAGCATTAACCTCAAGACCTGCCCCCACGAACCTTCCAAGAGGCCCCTCCTCCCAACCCTCCCAAACAGTGACTCCGGCTGAGAACCAGGTGTTTAAACACATGAGCCTATGGGGACAGTTCACATTCAAACCACAGCGCTGGGAAAAGCTCGGGCCCATAGTCCCAAGGGTAGAGCAGTGTTCATGTCTGATCATATCTTCTGTGGTTCAGACAAGTGGAATCCTGAGTTCTGGAACCCACACCCTGGTTAATGGGCACCTCGAGCCGAGAAGTCAGCGAGCCCAGCAGCCGTCAGCTGACAGGGCTTGCCTGAGACGTTCTCAGGAGGTCATCTCACTGGACCATCTTGGGCAGCAGGCAGCACTGGCTGCTTGTGTTTCAGGGGTAGGATGCTGTGGAGAGAGGTCCTTTGAAAATGAAACCAAATAAATCAGGGCGCTGAGGCAGAGACTGTTGGGGATTGCACAGCTGAATTCTGGTAACTTCTGCCAACAACCGGCTCTTTCTGAGTCACATGAATTTCTCTATATAGTGGAAGAAAAAAAAAAAACCAGTGATGATGGCGCCGCCTGGAGAGGAAGCAGGGCCGCCAGACTTCTCCACTGTGACCTTAAGGATCTGGGTGCTTTCACTCCTGGTGTGAGAACACCAAGGCCTTCACACCAACGTGGCTGCTCCTTAGCCTAGGAAAGGGCCCTCTACCCTGGTTCGCATCAGCTCATCCTTGCATACGGTGTAACCAGAGTGTCAGGAGAGATGGCTCAGTGATTCAGAGGGCTGGCTGCCCTTGTCGGGGACTAGGATTTAGCTGCCAGCACCCACGTCAAGCAGCTCACAGCCACCTGGAACTCCAGCTCCAGGAGATCTGAAGCCTTCTTCTGGACTCTCAACACATCACACACATGTCACACACACACACACA